GAAAGCGTGTTTAGAGGTCAGTCAAAGATTATGTACGGCAGCTAGCCTATCTCATGAAATGCTAGCCGAAATTCCGCATTTTTTGGGTTAAAAAGGTTTACTTAGGTACTGACTATCGAACAACATAATCTCAAGGTATGTCAGCCAGCGAAGGTAAGTGTCCCCATCAACTTCTTTGGTACAGCGAAAAAGGGTTCCGAGGTTGTGCTTGACTGCATTTAGAAGCTTACCGCGAGACGGGTCTCATTTGTTGGACTTCTGATCCTTTTAATAGATAAATGGACAAGAGTAGTTTGTTAACCCTCTCCCAATTGCGCGCACGCATAATTGCTACTTATTTAAGTTCGTTAGGTTGTATTAATTAGATTACAGTCTCCGATTTTTTGTTGGAACGCTTGTACTCACAAGCGTCTTCTGTCCAGTGCGTCGTTCATGCATCTTGCCTCCTGCTGACTGGCGTTAGAGTACTGTTTTCAACCTATGATTTATACAAATCTATGGTTATACTGTCTTTGCTCCTCTTACTTTTCCTGTTTTCTCGGTGGCATACTTTTTACAGTGGCAATCCTTTTTTGACAGGGTTCTCATTAAATTTCTATCATATCGGTGAATTTAAGGCCTCCGCAATCTCTAACTAAGTTGCAAATGGCGATTTGAAATATTCAACTGCGAAATTTTTGTGGTTAGTTATTGTTAAAACTGGTCACTTGTGTGAACAGATTAAATCAAATTGTTGTGCAGTTGGAGAAATAAAATATCGTCATTATTTTTTTAGGATTGGTAGACCTCATACGTCGCGGACATACTCTTGTTGGTAAAATTAAACATAAAGAGCGTGGAAAACAGGAAAATTATGTTTTTATGAGTTTTACACCCGTCGCCATTTTATTCCACCCAAAAAACCCCATTTTGCCACAATTCCGCAATTGCGGATGTTCTGAAAAGGGATTTTAAAAGCGTTATTGGGGCAAATACGGAGATACGTACTCCCATACTATAGGTGGCTTTGCGGTTAAGTTCAAGCGGCACGTTGGGGTTAATTTTAGGGTTAATTTTAGCGTTATTTGTCCATTTTCGCGTTCCACCAGTGACCAAGCCATTCTGACCACCAAAAGCTAAGTATTTTCTGGATGGCGCTTTTCCCCACTTTAGAGGTAGTTGGTTGATTTTTGTATCTTTGTGCATCCAACATCTATCTCAGTGTGACTTCGGTTGTAACGGTGGCATCTAGTTGTGTCACCGTCTAATTATGCCCTTTGAAATCCCCGAGGGGTTACACAACAAGGACGTAAAAGTGGAATCCAACTGGGGTGAGAGTTTGTTGTGTACAAAATTCGGAGTTGCTATCTCGGGTGGCGGTTGCCGCTAGCGTTAAGCCAAAGCGCTGAATGTTCAGCCTCGGGGCGAAGCCGGGCAATGGGACGGACTGGCGGTGTTTTTGCAGTCCGTGTTACAATTCACTGTCTGAGAGGTGATATTGGCTTATAGGTGATTG